CAGACTCGCACATGAGTTAGCAAAACAATCAAAATAAGCGAGGTAGCAAAACATAGTGCATCCATGCTTAGTGAAGTGGGAAATAAGGAGCTACAACGCTAAGGAAATGGCTCGGTCTATGCTCTGTATATTTTCAAGGGGCTGCTGAAGTGGCCACCAAATCCTTTCCGCTCAGAGAACAGTAGCTAAGAAAATAAAGAAGGTTCACTATATAAATCGTTTTCTTTTTTATCCCCCCTCCAAATATAAGGTCAGATTATTTTAGTTAAAAAGGAATGACAGAGTACAAATAAAGCCTGACACATTTCAGGCAGAAAGCAAAGAGTTAGTCAAATGAATCTTCATTCAAATTTTTAAGAGCAGATGGTTTATAAAAAAAAAACCTAAATGGGGTTTGTTCTCAAACCACATTCACTTATCTCAAATCAGGAATTTCAAGGCTAAACTCAAAATACTGATTACCAGCAGTGCCAAAACACTGTTAGTACGTAAACTTAAAAAAAACCAAAACAAAACAGTGGCCTCTGACTTCAAATCACTGAGGTCCAATTACTGGTCAAACTGAAATCAAAATCCCTGCATTCACATAGAAGACGAGGCCAGCCAATTCCAAACCCAGGCAGACAACCACTTTCGTACCAAACTGGGGGTTGTATTTTCAGCAGTTAAGAACATCACTGAACTTTGAAACATTACTTCTCTCAGAAACTTCACTTTTTCAAAGACTGCTAACTGTAGCTTCTGTGTTTGGATGTGCACTACTCAAACTAGACAGATGGAGGTTGCAACACAACCTGCTCTCCAATGCTTTTCAACGATGAGTTGTTAGAAGAAAATAGTAAAAGTAGTCATCCCTCCAGCTGCAGGGTAAATCACAGCTGCCAACATAGGATAGCTATATGATATAGAAAGCGATATGATATAGAAAAGGATTACTTATTCACTTCAAACCCTTCAGCGTCTCGGCTATCGACAATTCAGCCCATTTTACATACAAACCCGGAGTACGTTCGAGGAGACAAAAGGGAGCCTAGCCACCAGATGGGTTCCAGGTGACGTACTACGGATACGTAGAAATTCAATAGCCTTCTCAGTTTTGTAATGAAGTAAACTATGCATCTATTCTAACAGCTCTTACATCAGTCAAGTGGTAATACGGGACTGATCCTTCTGTGCTCTGAAAAACACAAACCTAGGAGCCCAGCGTACCGGCTATGATGGTGGTATGCCACTACTGAGCAGAACGCTCCTGAGCGGTCTCGTTTCAGGCAGATTAAGTAAGGGATTTTCCCTCAGCGGTTAAGTAACACAGCTGAAAGCCACCGTGAAGTGCTTTTTCTTCCAATTTCATCATCCCCTAAAACTAGGTTTTCAAGTGACACCATTTCTTCAAGTTACAGATGTTAATGTTTCTTTATTGTAAGCTTTGAACAGGAGACAACTACTTTACCCAGGTAATAATACTCGTGGTAAGATACGGTAAGAATAATGACCATTAGAAACGCTCAACACCACTAGAAGTTTTTATATAGAAAAAAGCTGCAGTAAGAGTTTCATATGATTCTCTCCCAGTCCCCAGAAGCATATTTGCTCATCTACAAATTTTTACATTAAAGATGTTTAAATATTAAAAGGAAAAAAAAAAATCAAGAGCCTGAAAACACTAAAATCTATTTTAGTGTTTAGACTCTGAAGATATTAAAAACACCAGAAAGGACGGTGGTCAATTTGGCAATTAATTTGAAATACCTGTATTTGCATCTTAAAAAATACATACAGGCAAAACATCACCGTTCAGTTTGTTTCGTCTATTACTTGTAATCAACACATTCTTCTCGTGTTTACAGAATGATCTCCTACCTTCCTCAGCTGAGGCATTACCAACGTAAACCCAAAGCAGGGAGGGTTTTATACAAGAAGAAGCACGGCTGTACAAATAGGCACCAAGAGCACAACATCTGAAGGGCTCTCTCTGCAGATACTCTCCACTACAGCAACCATGGACTTCACGTCTCCTCTGCTTCACTGCTTCTCAATAATGTAAAGTACGTAAGTGGAAATAACAGACATTTGAAGAAGCAGTGCTGACAGTTTACGTACCTTGATCAAGTCTGTTCATAAGAGTTCGGCAGGCTGCTTCTGTCTCGGGACTGGGATTATCCAACACCTGTCGGCACCATTTTAAAGGCGAGTCTGGTTTCTGATCTGTAGTAGATTTTCTTGGGGACACATAGAGCCTTTGCAAGGATTGAAAGGAGAAAGTAAAAAAAAAAAAACCTCATTAACTCCAAGCATGCAGCCACCAAAGTAGCACTGACTACAGTATACCTAAGCAACAGAAAAGTTATCCATACTAGAAACAGGGGAAAAAAATATTAAAAAGTTTAAATGTATACTATGACTTAGAAACAAAATTTACTATCACAATAGTAAAATTCACTTAAAGATGGCTTCACAGAGAAAGTACACAGCCTCCGCAAGGTGAGGTTCAAGCCTGGGCTCTTGGAATACTACCAAAGGTTACGTTGTTGGTATACTCACCATCACCTGTCGCCCCTGCCTCCCCCAAAAAACCATCTCATGCCAAAGACAGCAGGGGCGAGGCGGTGGTTCTAACTTGAGATTCAAGGTGATCTCCTTCCAGCGTTGTGTTTGTTGTGAAACCCCCACGGCTCCGGCTGTGCCGCCTGTACTGCTCTGCGGCAACAGTCGGCCCCCAACGGCAGCTCTCCGAGACACCCAGCGAACAATAAGAAGTCTTTTAGCCGATTTCAGGGATAAACATTTAATTGGAAGATGTAGAAATTTTCAGACAGTTAGGAAGTATGACTGTATGCTACCTTTCCCTTTTTTTATATTGCAATGTTAGATAAGTTCTCCTAAAGCTTCTAGACATTGTTTTGCATATACATACAGGATTAGCCTTACATATAGACAGATTTAATCACCTTATAGTCCCGGATTATTTACAACTGATCGTATGTAAAGTAGCCTCCCAACTGTATTTCGTAAGTAGAAATTGTCTCTCAAGAAAGGCCAAAGGGTATAGGAGCCAGACTGAAAAGCAACTCAAGTATTTTACTTACACATCGCACATTTGCATTTTCAAAGTAAGAAAACTCGCAACAAAAAAAGCACCCTGTATTTTAACATTTTTGCTATTTACTTAAAACTTTTGTGAGGAGGGGGGAAAAAAAAATATCATTATTATGTACATGTAAAAGTTAAACAGTTTTTAATTCTTGCAGGTCATTTAGAGAAGCACACCCTGATGTAGAGGGCATCGAGATCCCAATCGATCCATAGCACGAGAGGCGGGAACAGAAACAAGCAGCACCATCATTCACAGAACGCGCCCACAGAGACAATAAATTTCCTGCATGTAATAATGCATACCTTACTTTAATATTAGAGTTTCAGCTAAGTAATCTAAATATGCATGTGTTAATATATTCCCTGTGCTATGACTGCATGGCTACAAGAAGATATTTAGTATAAAAAAAAACCTGCTGAAGTCATTCAAAGGATCATAAAAAGGATTCACAGGCAGGGAAGTCAGCTCTGTGATGATGAACCGAAGGACCGGCATCTGTGCAATTTCTGTAAGAGTCTGCAAGGTGATTACCTCTGAAGTCAATCAGAAAGCAGAGAGTAGATTTCTGAAAGCAGAAACTTTTTTTTTGATCTTGTAAACAAGGCCATGGGATTCTTCAAGTTAAGTTTAGAACTACTGAATTTGTCCACAATGTAATTTCTTAGAATTAAGTGTACCAGAGGAAGAAGAAAATGTCCAGGTCTTTGAAGTTGTGTAGATATGGAACACCTTTCTAGAAGGGATGTGCTTCGAGACTAAATTTTGGGGGATGAATATACAGGAACCTGATTGCGACGTTTAGCTGTCATGTGCAGCCACGAAGTCTGGCTCTCAGGTCCATCGTTCTGAAGAAGCCCTGATGAGCTGTTGGCATGGCCTTCAGCAAGCGCAGCTGCCACCTCTCTGCGTCAAGAAATCCACGTGAACAAGCTTCATCACTGATAAATCTCCTGTGAGAGCAAGAGAGTCCTTCCCCGCACACAATCACACAACTGCTATTTTTCCCACCACCGCCTTCCTCTCCAGCACCAGTCCGGTACTCCTTCACCCACCGAGCTGCTCAAGGTGACAAAGAACCTCTTGGTCAACAGCCAACTAGCTACAGCCACACCTCAGGATTTATGCTACTCTCAACAGCTCTCCTCATGCTGATGTGTACGTAATCTTTCACCTTCATCAGTGCCAAATCCAGTATTTGAGCAGAAAATGATCATCAGTTTTAGAGTTTCAGGGAACATCTGCAGGTGCTTCAATTGCCTCCTGCTCGCCCTTCCAGCAGTAACTTTTGGCACTCCTGCAGCAAGACACATCCAGTCTTTCTGCTCCAGTCACTCATTCTCACACAGACATCTCATGTTCAATTCACAAAACACTCTTTTCCGCAACAAAACTAATATAAATCATCGGATATTTTAGTAATTATCCCATTAATTTCTGAAAACCCCTCATGTTTAAAAGATACAGAAACATACTATGGGGACCCTCAGTTCTCAGGTGTCCTATCCACAAAAGCAATGTTTGGCCAAGACGAAACACACAAACAACCGGGCTATCTAAAATATCGTACTGGCATAAAACCAGCCATCGAACCTATTCCCCCGTCTCCTATCCTGTATCCAGGTAAGGACAAGTACAGAAACAATCAATCCACCAGCTGTACTGATGCAGAAAGCTGTCCCGGACTCCCACAACTTGGCAATTTGGGGCTATCAGATTGAGCATCTCTGTGTGCAACAGCTCTCAAAGTATTATTTTTCAGTGAAGCCATCTAATCCCTTTTTTGAACTCGTATCTGCGTGTAGCACCCACAGCACCCTACTGCAACGAGCCCCACAACGCACCAAGGCGCAGGGTGCATTCACTTGCTCTGAAAATGTCACCTGCTATTCACTCTTGCTATTGCCTGCTGCTTGCGGGATGCGATACAGGTGGGAGGTCATTAATTCTCTATTGCCTCCTGACATGCCACTCACGATTTTACAGATCTTAATAATATTCCTGCCCCTGGCCAGACCCATCTTCTTAGGGAGTAGAGAGATCCAGTCTCTCCAGCCATGTCTCATACGGAAGCTTTTTCACACCAAGCTTTACACAAAACATGCAAATTAAAAAAATCCAAAAGCTAATTTGCTATTGACAAAATAAATGCTGAGAAACACGAACATAAGTATTCCTGAATCTGCAATGTTATCTTTCATAAAAGACCCCACAAGCATCTCTTGCTGCATTTCAGCATGGGTAAGTGAGCATTACAGCCACTCAGATCCGATAAAACAGAGAAAGCAAAGTGCTCTCTCTCCCTAGATTTATTTTACAGTTCAGACCAAAAAAGCAGCAACTAAACCATCAAACAAAAAAAAAAGAGGCCAATACCTTCCTTAGGGCAGGTCACGCTGTTCTTCACGTATTTTAGGTTAAGGGAGAAAATCCTGCTCTACTTCGGGAAGCAGTTGCTCTGCCCAGCTCCTTCCACGCTTCTAACCACGATTCTACCCAGGACCACAGCAGCTGAAGACGATAACCCTTGTTCCACTGCTAGAACCGTTCCCACAGGGAGCAGAGTTCCCTCCTTCCCAGGGTGTCCGAGCCCTCTGTCATCTGCCAGAGGACTCTCATTTTTCAGCTGACGAGTCTATTGGCAAGAGATGGCCTCACTTATAATTTCACTAAACTCAATTAAGTAAGCACAACTCAATTTTTCAGAGTACTGACAGGCAACTTATAAAGAAAGAGGAATTCTGGTTCGATTTCACAGCATCAGGTTTACCATTTTCCTTTTTAAGTAGCTTTGGGGAAGAGTTCGACATACTTAGCAAGCTAACTTCTCAAAATACGCTGGCATAGCTTATTTTTCTGCAGCGCTGCACACCATCAGCTGATAAAGTAAACACACCAGCCCCACAAACAGAAGTGAATATTCTTCTGGAGATGATATTAAGAACCAAAAATCACCTGTGACTCCAGGCTCCCCCCACCCAGCGTCATCCTCCGTCGCCCGCCGTGGCACAACTGCCGCAGCAAGAGAGGCCGGGTCAGCGCAGCATCCCACACTGCTAGCTGAACTAACACAGGCTCTCTTCTGAAAGAGGTTTTTGTGATAAGCTAAACTCACTCTGCTCCGTTTAAAAATATGCAGAATTTTATTTCTGGTAGCTTTATCCTCTAAGGCTGTTTGATTTGTCAGGTTAACTTAATCCAATAAGCATTGGAAAAAATGTACTCAGGCATGCCATTAAGTATGGGTACTGCTGCCAGTTTAGAGTCAGCCAAAGCCTTTTGGGTTTAACAAACACCCGATTACCGAATCAGCTTTACCTTGCATTTTGTTCCTACAACTCAGCAGTCTGGGGGTGAAGCATGTTCTGTTTAAAGGCTGTCGTGCTTTAACCCCGGCCAACAACTAAGCCCCACGCAGCCGCTCACTCGCTCACGGTGGGATGGGGGAGAGAATCAGAAGAGTAAAAGTGAGAGAAGTCATGGCTTGAGATAAAGACAGTTTAACAGGACAGAAAAGGAAGAAAAAAATAATAGTGGTAATAATAATGATAAAAGAATTAGGATATACAAACCAAGCAATGCACAATGCAGTTGCTCCCCACCTGCTGATCGATGCTCAGCCAGCTCCTGAGCAGCAGCCCCCGGCCAGCTTTCCCCCCAGTTTCTATACTGGGCATGACATCATATGGTATGGAATATCCCTTGGGTCGTTTGGGGTCAGCGGTCTCAGCTGTGTCCCCTCCCAACTTCTTGTGCCCCCAGCCTTCGCCCTGGCTGGGCACGAGAAGCTGGAAGGGCCTTGACTTCATGTAAACGCTACTTAGCGACAACTAAAAACATCCGCGTGGTAGCCACAGGATTCTCAGCCTAAATCCAAAAGACAGCACTGTCCCAGCTACTGGGAAAAAAATTAACTCTATCCCGGCCGAAACCAGGACAACGGCAAAAGGTTATGCTTTGAATATTTTCTTTTGTTGAATTGCAAATGATAATTAAGGAGGTATTTAGATAGTTACAAGGCCCAATACAAAATTCAGAAAGTAAACATTTGGGCATATACTCTCGATGTATTAGGGTCTTGCTGCATAACTTATTAAATATGAATGAGACTTTCTTCCGCTTCTGCGAGGAAACCCTTAGATAAAG